GATCCGAACCCTCGGCGGGAGCGCCGCCGCACTCCCAAGCGCCACACTCTACCGAGTGCGCTACCGGGCCAGCCTATATAACCTTATTTTTTTTAATTGTCTTCTGGTTTAAAACACCACATTTAATAGATATTACTATTTAATATGTGTCAGCTATTATGTTACATACTAGGGACACATAATGTACAAGACAGACACTACTCTTGCCATTAGAGTACTGACATTCTTGCAATAGAGTATGAGTGCCTGGATGGGAGAAATTCAGGATACCATGGGAGCACATAGAAGGAAACCTAATTTGGGATTTGATAAGAGGCATAAAGGAAGACTTCCTGGAAGACATGACATTAAAAAAATTGATATCCAACAGACACGGAGTTAGCCAGGAAAACGGGGAAGAGTGAGACAGGAGTGGGCATAGGAAGAGTATTCCAGGCAGAGGGAACATGTATAAGGGTCAGAGAGGAGAGAGCATAATGAATTGTGTGGCTTAATGTAGAGTTCCAGAGGTGTGTGAGTGGAAATGGGAGTTTGGTTTTGTGAGAGTAGTGAGAGATAAGGCTAGAGAAGTAAGCAGAAGCTATGTCCTGGAGGGCTTTGTAAGCAATGTGGAGGAATTTGAACTGTCCTGAGCTCAATGGGGAGCTATTGAAAAGTTTTAAACGGGAAATTTATGATTTTCCTTTTAGGAATATCATCCTGGCTGCAGAATGGAGATTGGGTTGGGGCCTAGGGACAAAGAACCAGGGAGGAGGCTGTTGCAAAAAATTTAAGAGATGGTAGTGGTAGATAGTGGATATGGAGAGATGTGAATAGGTAATCAAGCTACTTAGGAGGTAGAATGGTAGAATTTTGTTTTGTTTTGTTTTTTTCTTTGTTTCTTTTATTTTAAAATGGTAGAATTTGATGATATGGATTTCTGGCTTGAGCAACTTAATGGGTTCCATTTAACAAAATAGAGAACATAAGAAAAGGAGCAGGTTTGGTGGGGGTAGGGGGATAATAAATTTCATTTAGTTTACTATGTTTATTTTTGTTTAAAAATTTATCATCTTTCCATCAAAATGGTTTTGAATATTATCTAACCCTGATTTTGCTGTGTTTAGTCTTAGGAAATTCATTGGGCCCCCTGAGTACCTACGCTGATAGATAAAATAAGAATGACAAAATGTTAAAAACTTTTGAAGCTCAGTGATGGATACATGAGGCTCATGATGTTACTAACTTTCTTTTTTGTGTGCATGATGTTTGATATTTCCATAATAAAAGAAGTTTTATAAGTAACAAAAGGAGGAAGTCATGTCCTACAGGGCTCTTTATAACTTATAAAGAAAATCACAGTTCCCCCTTTCTTACACTGGCGAGAAAAAAAATGACAGGTATGTGTAAAAAAATAATAAAATCAGACAATAAAACACTACTTAAGTAACATTTTCGTTTGAATACTTGTATATAAATCTGAGAATAAATCAATATTGTACTAGAAGTCATGCTTGCAGAAGGGTAAGGTTTTTAATATAAATGATCAGCAAAGACAAACCAGCCAACTTATACACTTAATGTACAAGATTATCATACACTTAATGTATAAGATTATATCTGTTTTATCAGAGATAAATATAAAAGATCAGATATTTTATTATCTCTGATAAAACAGATATAATCTTATACATTAAATGCATGATAATATCACAAAGAAACTAGTGGAGAATGGAACACAACAGTGTTTTCATTAATTAATTCTAATTCAACATACTTCAAGGAGACATTAAATTGGCCAGAACCAGACTTATCAATAACCTATCCAATGGTGTTAACATATGTTTTTAAAAAGATGCTAACAAAAAAGGAATTTGTGAGAAATAAATTAAGAGGAAGTAAAGTTATGGATACATATTGATAGCGATCAGACATTTGCTGTCCATGGGAAAGCATGACCTGTCTGAGGATGACTTGTTAAATTCCTGTACCAAGCACATTCCTAGCATGGAGGTGTAAGCCCTGGAGGATCACCTGACCTAATACAATCAAATACTCAACATACAATTGCCTCCATTCTTTTTTTTTGGCCCCCTGTCAGTCACTTACAGATAGTACCTGATTATCAGTGTACTCCTAAAATGAAGACAAAGATCTGTATTTTGATGCTTTTCCCTTAACTAATTCTCTATTCTGGTCTCCACTTCTAAAATGACACTTTGCACCTTGTTGCTGCATCCTCTAAAGGGGAGGAATGCTGTGTCCTCACATGGTAGAAGGAAGGCAGAAGGGCAAGGAGCTCAACGCTGCATGAAGCCTCTCCTATAAGGGCCTTAATCCCATTCACGAGGCATATGCTATAGT